GTAAATGAATGAAAGATCTAAACTTTACATACTAACTCAACCTCGTATTTCAAATATAATTATTTAGCTTTCATGTTTTTTCATAATTACAGGGTGGAGAATTTATGGAGCTTTTGAGGAGTTCAATTTTAAATCATGCTTTATTTTTGCATTGTTTATGTTTTTTCAGAATTTTTTTTGGTTTGTTTTTTTTTTTTTTGTCTTTCCAATTATAACTTTATCATTTTATCCTCCTTTTCTTATGTTTTTTCATCAAACACTTCTCAATTTTCTCTGGTTAAGTTCTCAATAGACGTTTAGATCTTCTTTTTCTCCTGCCAATATTTGTTTTCTCCTTTGGAAGATGTGGATGCCTTACATATTTACACATTTAAAAATCTCCCAAGAGATTTCTCTAGGCTTAATTTGGCTTTCTAAAAGACTAACATGTATCTTCAAGGAGCAACTTACTTCTTAACATATGCTTGAAGGTTTACTCTCTTAGTTTAGAACTTGGATCAAACTGGTTGATGATTTTGCTTATGTTTGATACTGTCTTTTGATCATCTAGGTTTCATCTGCTGGCTGAATTTGATGATGATAAACGTAGCTGCCGTAAACGACTCGCTGGACACAATGAACGCCGGAGGAAACCTCAACTCGGTATACACTCTGGAAGGTCGGGGAGGCTCCTCCAATCATATAATGGTAAAACAATCACCTTATTATCTTTCCCTTTACTGAAAATTCAATTTGTCTACATCTGCCAAGTGATATTTAGTGGTTTTACCTGCCTATTGGGTTGGCAAAAAGTCAACATGTGAGTGTGTGGATGTGAATGCATGGCCAGCTGACTTTCCTTTTCTTTGTGGATGCCCTCAGAAAGAAAACAATCCTTTTCTTTGTATGTTTTCATCTGTTGAAGATCCCTTGCATTTCAAAATTTAATGTAGCTTGCAGTCTTGTCCTGTCCTTTCTCCTTTTCCGTTGGTATGCATGGCTAGCTGTTGGATATTGACTTTCTTATTCTCTTATTTTTGCCATGTTTGGTTGACCAATGCATAGTTTTGGAACAAATAAGTATTTGAAAACGTTTTCCCAGTGGCAATATTCATGAGTTGTTGGACTTTCTCGTATAAACTTGTATCTCAAACGAAACTGCTACATTTCAAATTACTAGGTACAATTTTTAATAGTCAAAGCAGTACTGTGACTCCTGATTTGGACAACATATGCATCAAATGATACCTGTTGGAGTTGAGACCACCAGCATAAATAAAAATTTAGTACAAGATTTGTCTTATCCTAACCAAGATCCGTTCCCATAGCTTCTGGCTGGACTGCACTTGAGATTCCTAAAGATGTCTTTAACTTGCAACCAATGTCGGGGTCCAGCATAGCCACTTTGTATCCTAAAAAATGTGAAACGAGTTTTGGATAAAATCACCCAATTCTATTCCTTCATACTTTTTTTGGGTGTTACTTTTCCCTGTCAATGCGAGGTCAAAATCTAAGGCTCAATCAACGCTTTAAGGTTCAATTTCCTCTTCTTCTCATCATTTATGACTTGTAGTTAGTTTGGCACCATCACAGATATGCATGGATCCAACAGGTAGTGGATAAGCTAAGTTGCGCATCCCTGGCAGGCAACATGGGAGGATAGAAACTTTGATTTGTTCGGGTGTGGAACAAGCAAGAATTCCTGGAATTCACATTTTATTTGTTTACCATATGTGTTATATTGTCTTCAAAACTTCTAAGTGCTTAAATTTCATTAGTATCATTTATGACGTGTAGTTCATTTAGGCTCTCTAGCATTCCTCTTCCAACAATGTCAGCTCATATATTCTCAAGAGTGTGAACAGTGCATTATTTATCACTGAACATCATTAAATATCAAAATGCATTTTTAGTGGCTGATTTCCCGTCTCTCGTAACGAACATGTGTTCTACAACTTTTTGGATGCTGTGTAGGCTTTGCAGGTAGTAGATTTCAAGGGACTGTCTCAGCCACCACATCCTTTATTTGCCAGGATTTACTCCCGAGCAATATT